AGAAATTGGATGATCATATAGAATGGGTTGAATCGAGTTAGACATCTGTCATGACAGAATTGGTGAAAACGGTGGCATTCTTTACCCCTTTAAAAAGGAATAGATCGGTTCCATAGAATTTATTCTTTATCGATCCCGGGAAAACCAACACCACATCAAAAAGCTGAATAAACTCGTGACCATTGGTCTTTTGGAACCTGTGAATGTGAAAAAAGTTCGATGAGATTGCGGATTTATTTGTGTTTCGGACGGTTGGTTGGTTGAAAGTTCCAAATTGATATTCATGACATCGTTATCTTAAAAAAAAAAAAAAAAAATTCTTCCTCAACTCTTTATGGTGGCAGATCACGAATTAGGATTCAGAGAATGTTGCATTTCCTTTCATCCGTTCATAATTGAGGGTTGTATAGCGCCGATGCATTTTTCCAAAGGAAAGGATCACTTCATTTGTCACGGAAGGACATGATCCGCTCCCGAGTGTACCATTCATATAATCAATTTAAAAAAAACTGGTTCAAACTAATTATAATTTTTTGGTGGTCTTTGAAAGGTTGTCAAGTCGATTTGAACTCTGCATCGGGTGTGATATAACCGATCGGATTGGCGAGTCACAACAATGAAGAGTCCCATCCAAGGGGACATGTAAAAACTGCGTGATTGATATAAAATGTGAGGGATGTCATGTCCATGCAAAGAAGACCTGCTTCGGACGATCTTCGCGATCCGCGAGTGCCAATCGCGAGAATTGTCTATGAATACTGGTATGGTAAATCAAAAGAATGACAAGAAAAAATCACAAAAATCTCGCGTAATAATGTGTCCACTTGTCGGATCATGTTACCCCTACTTGACTTGGTGGAGCGTGATGTTTACAGAAAATAGGGTTTTTTTTTTTTTTTTTTTTTGACCAACGTCCACCATCCGTTATTAATGGCGCCCATCTCCATCCGATGATGATGTCCTCGCATAAAAATTTTCGAATTTTTTATATGGTTCTCGTTCGCACTGTTTATACCATTTCACATGATTTGATCGTCCATCTCATCCCGTGTGTGTGTAACCAACTTTTTTCGAACAATTGGGAATGACGACACTAACTGGCCTATAACGTCGAAAAAACTTGGAAAAAAAAAAGGGGTTTTTTTTCGGTTTACCTTGATTTTATTGTTAACTTCCTTCCACAAGAAGCCTGATGTCGGTTGTGAGCAAAAATTTCAGGAATTTTTTTTTGATATACCGGCATTGTAAATAAGGTGGCATAACAAATAGTTTTGTGAAACTCGTGATTTTAATAACCCTATTATGGCGCCATTCGTGTGTTATTAAATTGGTAACTCTTTGGCAATCTTCTAGAACAATTCCAGAACACAGAGAATTGTCGAAAAGGGTTATTCGATTCCGACTAACCTTAAAAGCGGAAGAACGACGCAGGACAAAAAATTAAACTATGTTCATGCATTGACCAGCCTAAGCCACACCGATTGTTATGTGACATTTTTTTCCAGAAATGGTTAATGAAAAAAAGTAGCTTAATTCATGGTGATGCCATTAGCGGAAAAAACTTACAAATTACGCGCCGCGCCCTGGTGTTAGTGGCTCGGCCATTCTCGCTTACCGTATTCAAGAAGTTATTTACATCCACCACTTTAACTTTACATGTTCAACCCGAGCACCGATGATTTCTTGTACAATTTAGGAAGAGGACCAATCGAATTTATGAGATATTTTACACAGACATCCTATCTTTGTCTTTGTTTAAACTCCCGAATGGGAAATGAACGAGGACCCTGCCACCTTCTCAAGTCACATCACATCCTACCGGTCCGAGTGAACAAGAAAGAATGCTGCCAAATCAAAAATCGTTAATTCGTTTTTTGATAGTCTTCCTTTTTTTTTAAAACGGAAGGTATATAAAAGATCCATCCTTTTGAGGAACGGGCTGGTTCTTTTTATTACCACTGTGTGAAACATGCGGAAGAAAAAATCATTTATATACGTATAAATGCCAGGTGAATTCGGAATTTATTAATGCAGTCGGAAGAATTCTTTTTTTTTTTACAGGAAAACAAAAGATAATCGTGATGAGAGGTCAAACGCCATCACATCATCGATTGATTATTGGTGTAAAATGGATTTATTGTGTGTGAGCGAGATCAATCGATTGGACGAACGGACCTTCATAAATATCAACCTTTCCTATTCTGGACGCACAAAGAATTGTAGGACGAGAATTCCCAAGGTTTCGTATCCATCATGCGGATGAAACTTCTTTGTTGTCCGTTTAAAATTGAGGTTGTTGACTCCTGCAGTTTGACCGTTAATGTGGATGTGACCACTCGAGCGATTGAATCCAAGACGATAAAGGTTCTCGGAATGATAAGGTGTCAAACGATTGGGGGACGCTCGTCGTTAGAAACGTGGTTTCGTTTCACCAACGTGTGTCTTTTGTCACGAAAAGATCTCATGCTGAATTTTGATAAAATGCCTATCACCGTCCGTTGATTCGATTCATCAGATCCATTTTTTTCACAAAGAATTGGTCGGACCTCATTCGCCGGTCGCATTTATAATTCGTTAACAATAAAATGGCAAGTGATTGGAGAGGATATTCCGGAAGAGGGATTGACGGTGAGAATACGAATGGTCCTTGTGTAATCGGTTCACACCCTGCCTGACTTCCATTTGACGAAATCTGCTGCTGCTACTCATTTCACTCGTACAGTTGAAGTAGCAAGAAAATTTCTTATTTGGGATGTTTATATTCTGTTTACACTCGCACACTTGTTCACTCTTTCGATCTACACTGTCATGTTGATCTCGTTCATGTTACTCCAAATTACCACTCTGCATGTAACAGGAATCGCGTCGTGTATTTGAACAACGGTAAACCAAACGTATGAAAGTCCTTTCCAATTGTGTGCGCTTACTTCGTTTTCTCATCACACACTCTTTCCGGTCGTATAAGAAAGATCATTATTAACTTATGCACGATTGTATGGATCACGCATGATAAGGTGGTGACGCGAAATCATCGGATCGATAAATAGCTTAGTTTGATGATATAATCCCACGTATTGTTTATGTCATATATACTGTATGTTTATTAATCGTTGCACCGTGTGTTCCATCTTATCTGAATGCGTTAACCAGGATAAGGTTCTATGTTGTGGTCGTGCGGGCCAAAAGTTCTAAAAGGCGCAGGTGCACTGATTGTGGAAAATTTTCATTTCTCATACAACCACCAAACATGTTCCCCTCTCAATACCAACCTAACAACAGTATGACTTGATTCTGTCACTTTTTACGGTATGAGCGCACTCAATACGCAGTACACAAGTGAATAGGTTATGCGCATTTTCAGGTTTATTATGAATTGCCAAAATGAGATTATGAATTGATCTTATGCCTATGATTTTCTTATCATCACGGATATCTTTCTTTTCCATTACCTTTGTGTTAAACAATTCTAGACCATATTTGTATACTTCACACTATATTTGTATTCTCATTGTCGTCCGATAAGTATGCATGCATTTCAGTTGTTCATTCTTAAAATCTTTTTTTTATACACCGAATTACTGTAACTGTGATGGAAAAGAGGTTATATCATACGATCAAATTGTATATATACAGTATATTTGTGTGCGCATCCATACTGTGAAATAGGGTGAATAGGGTGAATCCGTAAATAAATGACCGACGCCACTTCCCCATTATCCTTTCCCATTCCTCATTACCTTTCGACATTTTGAAAGAATGTGTGTATGATCATTTTTGAAGAGGCACCATCCATTAAAGCTAGAAACCGAAAATCCGTTACATTTCAGGGGGCCGTATCACCCACCTTTCTGATCAATGACCATTGTTACGAATCGTTTACGCAATTAAGAAGAAAGAAAAAGGGCCCATGTTAAGGTGTGTGTGTGTGTTCACACAAAAAGGAAACGCGTTTAGGGAAAAAAAGGGTAGATACGAATTGGGCAAATAACGCATGTGTGTAATAAGCATTTCGTTCGCAACGTTACTGGTAATCGAATTTTCTTTCTTTCTACGTGCAAAGTTTTGGAACGAGAGTGAAGAAAAATGATCATGCGACAAAAAATTAACATACTTTAAGAGTCTAGATTTAATTCTGTAAATGGCTACCACATCAATGATTTTTCCAAGTTGGGTCGTTCAAAAGCAATAAGAATAATAATAAGCGTTTTCAGGTTATCGTCGAAATTATCGTTTCACGTGATATATTCGTTCACGTGACAAACAACCTTGAGCTACTTTTTCGACGCGTTTATTTACAATCGAGTTTTTAATTTTTCTTCCCTACAACCGCAACCATGAGTATGTACTATTACGAAAACAGGCTAAATTCTTTTACCTCAAAGAAAAAGAAGTGGCCTCACACGGACAAAAACTACAAGGCAACCCCGGAAATGGTAATCTGCGCAACTTATCATTCGTCTTATTGTTGACACCAACATTGAAGAGATCTCTAACCTCTTTCCGTAGTTGGCAAAAGCTGGTTTTTATTATCTTCCTGCCCCACGCTCACCAGATAATGTAATATGTTTTTTATGCCACAAATCGATGGAAGGTTGGGATCCCACCGACGACCCAAATATAGAGCACATAACTCATTCTCCGGAATGTGCTTGGGCATTATGCTATTGCATGACGAGAAAATTTGCTGACAAAAAGTTACCTTCCAATTTGGACGATGATCATTCACCTTCGTCCAAAAGAATGGAGGAATTAAGGTTGATGACTTTTGGTAATTGGTGGCCTCACGAAGGAAAGAAAGGTTGGATCGGTACGGCGAAGAAGGTATTGATTCAAATGCTGGTCCTTAATTTGTCGATCGATTCATCAGGATTTTAATCTTCTGGAAAGTTAGATGGCCAAAGCGGGTTTCGTCTTTGCCTCATCGATTCACACACCTGATAACGTGATGTGTACCTATTGCGAAGTGAGCTTGGGTGACTGGGAACAAAAGGACGATCCCATGTAAGGCATCTTTAATATGGTTGATGGATGGAAGTTTGTATTTTACATCGGACCGTGTAACCCATCTGTCGACTCCCTTAATAAAGGAAGGAACATCGTAAAAGATTTCCCTCATGTCCCTTTTTCGATAAGCTACCTTCAAAAGCGAAAAAACAAAGCGACGTGGAAAAGATGGCGACGAAAAAAACCAGAAAACAGAAAATTGCACAAGCATCCATCATCAAAGTTGAAGAAGAAGAAGAAGATATGAAAACATTAGACAAGATGATCGATCACCTTACACTAGAAGAACCTGACAATATTAATTCAGAACAGATTATGGTAGAGGTATGTTTGGTTCCATCTTTTTGAACCTTTGCTCTTCGTCCTTGAAAAAGTTCAATCTTTAACTATTCGCACATTGAACTAATTTCACCAAGCAATACAACTCAATTGAGACGCGTGATGATACCGTGATAGAGAATAGTTGTGAAACCATGGGAAACGGTAAAGAATCGCGGGAATCAATTTTAATGCCGAAAAAAAACATAGACGAAAAATCAAATGTGGAAACTGTCGTTGATGAAGCCGAGAGTCTGGGTTTGGAAAGCGTACAATTAATGAATTCAGGAAATGATGATATGATTGCTAATGAACATCACTTACGTGATTCGTTGGCATCGCAACGCGATGAAAATAAGGGGAACGTAATCTTTGAAGATGTTGGAAATCAAGATGATGACTTTCTGATGTTCCAAAAAAGTTTGGAAATAAAAGAAAATTATCAATCTGATACTCACGATACCAGTTGTGAACAAGCAATTTATTCACCGCAAAATGTTGTGGAAAAGGAAAGAAACATTGCCGAAACTGTAGAAAATGCTGAAAAGGATGATGAGCATGATATGAGATTGGAAACCGAAAAAGATCGTTCGAATGAGTTGAGATTGGTTGGAGAAAAAGAGGTTGAAGATTTTAATTACGAACTCTTAGGCATCATAGACGATGAATCCTGCGATTCGTTAATAGAGATAAAGGTGTCGAATAGAGTTTTGTGTGTTGAAGAAAAGGCGGTGATCAATACTAAAAACAATATTGAGAATACTAGAAGGGAAGGGAACAATTCGTTTTATGATTCCTTGGTTGACAAAAGGAAGTCGATAAATGACATCCACGGAGATATTGTAAACGATAAAAAAACATCCATCAAGTCTTTGCCTAACAGTAGTAGATTGATAAACGACACTCCCAGAGACAAGAGCGTTGTTGAAAGAACGTTTGGTGGATCTTTGGTTGTCAAGAAAGACTCCGTGAGCGATATTCATCACGACATTGCGAATGTAAATAACTCGTCCAACAATTCTTTGATTGAAAAGATAGAGTCAGTGATTGATACATATGGTGACGCGACGAGTGTTGAAAAAAGGGATGATTTGACTAATGAGGCTCCTGTTGACAAGAGGCAGTCAATGATCGACATCCACAATGATACCGTAAGTATTGAAAACGGGAACAACGACTTGTTCATCAAGTCTTTGGTCGACGAAAGAAAATCTGTGAGCGTTATTCAGAACGAAACATCGACCATTGAGATAAAAACGATAGATCATGTCGTCGACGACGTTGGACAGTTAAATATTGAAAACGACTCCGTTAAAGGGAAATCTTTTGAATTCGAGAAAAGTGATACAATGGTACTAGATAGCTTTGGAAGTCGGGGCGAACTTAATGACGTTACCGAAGAATGCGAAGAATATGCATCCTTTTGCGAAAAACTTGCAAAAAACCAATTTGACGAAAGTACTTCTCTCAAGTACAGGACAACTAATTCAGTTCAAAATAAGTGCAGTCACGAAGTTTCTCGAATCATTGCGGACGACATTTATTATGAGTCAACGAAAAACTATTTCAAGAATTCAATCTCACATCAAACGCCACGTGAACTTAACATGGAAGATTTATTAGTGAAAGAGGGTATATCTGGCAACACCGCCGATCACAAAGATACAGAGAGCAGACAATCAGAAATAATCAACAGTAAGGTGAACGAAGATGACGCTATTCTGAGGTTAGGGAATTTGTCGATTCATTCCTCAGACAATGATAAACTAAACACGCCTAAACCATCAACTTCGCCAACATTCTTTTCTCCTCCGTACGTTGAACAATCCCCCGAATTCTCAAAGATGGACACCGAACTAAATTATTTCCCTTTCAGTCATATGTTACCAACCGAACCAATAAAACAATATGGTTCCAGGGACATCACCGTGGAAGAGTATTTACGAGACATGACAGAAGAGCAGAACAAAAAACTGATCATGAAGACTTCTCAAATGATAGAGGAACTATTGGAAGTAAAGAGAAAAGCCAAAAACGCAATAATGTCAATACCTGTGATATAGCACTTCTGCGTATCTATCTGATTAATCTGAGGTCATTGTAAGGTGTCCGCGAATCCAATCATGTCATATGGAAAATAGCGGTACATTGACTTGTTCGCCAGTGTTTCGCGAGGCGAGAATAAAAGCTTTGTTTACCATTTAGTAATAACTATAATTCGCTTCTCGAATAAATATGGTTTTGCCTTCTTAAGACACAACAATATTGATGTAATAATCATACTGCAAATAAGTGCGAAATGTTTGTAAATTTATTATTATTATTATTATTATTATTATTATCACTGATAATAATGATGTTAAAAGAAAGCTGAACAATTGATTCTTAAACTGAAGTGCATTGTAACAAGGTACAGAATGTCTAGACTCGGATGCGTTCGTTCGTTAGCACATACCTCTTCGAGGTTAAACCACAATTAATCGTTTGCATTTTTGTTAAATTTTGAACTATATATATACTATATATTGATTGATTCACAATGACGAACGTGTAACGCCTTTTTCGGATTCTTGTTCTTGTGAGGAAGCCTCCGCGTCGTGTGCTTGAAGAGTAGAATCAGCTTTCAGAGAATCCGACGGAATCTGCTCTACTTCAGGTGAAATTATAGAATCATGAGTATTTTGAGATTTAGTTTCCTCCGGACAATGTTTCCCCTCTTCCTCCCGAGACATAAGAGTATCGTTATTTTGAGATTTAGTTTCCTCCGGACAATGTTTCCCCTCTTCCTCCCGAGACATAAGAGTATCGTTATTCTGTGCCAAGTTTTCCTCCACGACTTTGGATCCTGTTTCCTGCTTCGTTTCCTTTTCCCGCAAAGTTTCCTCATTTTGCTTTATCGTTTCGGGATCAAGTACCCTTTCTTCTTTTTCCTTTTCCCGCAAAGTTTCCTCATTTTGCTTTATCGTTTCGGGATCAAGTACCCCTTCTTCTTTTTCCGTTTTCTCTTCTGAATCGTTAGAAGCGGAAGCTTCCTGATCTATCTTGGTATCATCTGAAACATCCATGGGCATACATGAAGTTGGAGTTTCTTGGTTTTCTCCAGTGTTTTCCAAACCATCCATAGGTGAGGAAGAAGCTATCGAATCCCCTCCTTGGTTTGCTTGACTCGTTTCGGTATTTTCCGAGGAATCCACAGGTGCGGACGGAGATGTCGAAGTTCCCTGGCACACTTCCATATCTTCCGATTTATCTTCTGGCGCAGATGTGGTCGAGATTTCTTTTTCAACGGTTTCTATGGGTGCAGCAGATGTGGTCGAGGTTTCATCCTGCTTTGTTTCAACATTTTCCAAACCCTCCGCACGCGTATTTTCTAGATCATCCACGAGTGTAGAAGAAACCGACGCATCATCTTTTTTCGCCTCAGCCTTTTCACCATCATTATCCTCGGAATCCTTTAATTTTGCCTTCTTTACTTCTTGTTCTTCTTCCTTTCCGCCCGGTTCTTTCTCGGTTTCTGGTGACTGAGGAAAGTAAAAGGGCAACAAATCTTGATAAACGATTTTGTTCTCATCTTCGAACACGCAAAATATGATCCTTTCGACCTACACATGAATACGAAAGAATTTAAGAGTTCTGTGCATATAATAAATATACAAAAAATTTGATGCGAAAAATTTAGGTACTTGGTCAAGGTCCGGATGGTCTTCCAACCATTTCCTCACAGTAGATATGGCCACGTGACCCGCAGAGTAGCGTGGATATCCGTAAACCCCTTTTATGGTTCGTGTTATCGTATGATACGAAGGGTGAAAATCAAAACCAGTAAATCTATGGAACGCATAATATTCTTGATGACATACCCGTGCTAATGTTTGAAAATGCCTTGAAAAATCATGTAATTTTAGACACACAAAAGAACATAATTAAAAGACAAATTTTATCAAAAAAAGAAAAAAATCTATTGCTTACTATGCTCTTCAACTTTTTTTCGAAAAAAACCTTCAAAGATCGTTCGTAAGAACTGCGAAGAAGTTCAGGTTTCTCACCCATAGGTCCAACGGTGTGAATGACATCTAGACCATCATAAGATGAATGAATTAAGATGCGTGTGATGACAAGTTTTGGATAACGATGTGAAAAAAAAAAAATCGCTTTACGTTTAGCCGGAAGATCATAACCTGCACGTTAAAAAATTTAAGGTTAACGCAAAATCAAAAATTTTCAATACTTATAATACCTAAATGCATTAACGCATACCGAGAGTTATTTTGGCATCCTGCATGATCGATTTCACGTAAATTTTGGTTAATATTGATAGTGTCACTACTCCACAAGGGATAAAACGACAACGCAACTATACGATTCAATCAGCGTACCCCCGTCCTACAACCATTTAACTCCCAACATTCTTGTTTAAGTTTCGGTCCGGCGGCCCTGATTAATTTAGTGTTAGATAAATGATCGAAGTGTAGAAACGATTTGTTTTTCTTGGAAAAAAAAAAAAAAAATACCTATGAATTGCTCCGTCAACTGTCAACATGAAATCAAGATGAAAACGAAATTACATGAATATCAAGATTTCTTGACCATGAGAAGATGAAATCATACAAGACGACCGTACCTCCACCTCCACCCATGAGTGATTCATTTGCTGCATTTACTATTATAAATATCCAAGGACAAAGGCAAATGGTTACTGAGAAATTCCCAATAAAATATTATTATACACGGACTAACCTATCGCATCGATCTTCAACTTAGTAATATCAGCTTGGCTTTTATGGATAGCATATCAAAAAGGTTCCATGTTAACAGAGATTCCACGTATAATCAGAGGATGCAAAATAAAGCCATCAAGTTAAACTCACATGAGAGAGACTTTCTCGTTAAACTTCTCATTGTAAGAGTAACAATCTGTGGTAGTATAGAGGTTTATAAATTTCCTTACGCGAATATAAATCAAAACCATCTATTTTTCAGAAATTTAAGCTTTATCGAAGTTTAAAACGACCTTCCACGGATTCTTTCTTACGTTTCTCTACCCTCCTCGATCTACGCGGCCCAAAACCACCTTTTTCATAAACGTCCTTAAGTGTTTCTATTTGACTCAATTCCCTTTCAGGCATGCTTCTTTTGACAAACGAGTGAAAAACTAACTGTTGACAGAACGAAGGGCGTATCCTTTTAAAAAATGCACTGGTCGTGGAATTAATCAATTGATTTATCGGGAAATATATCATTTCTTGTCCGATTTGATCAGCATCATGTGTTTTTATATTTTTGTTTGAGCACACGTAATCTTCGGTCAAGTCATTAAGGCAAAAAGTCTCAATTAGTATCGAGAAAACCTTTTTACATTTATTTCCAGTGTTCAAACGATAAAATTTTACACAAGTTTAAAAGTATCATAAAGTAACTTAAAGTAATGGTCATTGTAGATGACCATAAACATCACACCACCTAACAATAATCACCTCGGAGATATTAATTGTAATTTAATTTGATTCGTTTTGTCGTGACGCCTGTTGAGCAATGCAATTAACTTCTCGTCACTAAGATCGGGTGATAACTCATCATCCGAGGATGAATCAGGAAATGGCAATAAGGCGTATCGTGCCTTAAAAATCTAATTTAAAGAAAATTTGGAAGTGAATAAAGGCGAATGTGATAGAATTTACAATCAAACGATGTCTTACCCGACGTGCCAGTCTTTCAATATTCCCATCAACGGCGACAACTTCCCACGCAAAATCTACATCAAAAATCATCTTGATCCCGTATACGATACGTTTGGCTTGAATCTCTTTCGTTAGCTTGTAATCATCACTTGTGGTATGCGGAATTAATTCTTCATCTGAATCGAGGGCTCTCTGCACTAGCGTAAGGAGTGTTCTCTCGATCGTGGGAAGATCGGATACATATTGTGCGTTTGCTAGTGAACATGCATTTGAAATATTATGAAAAGTGTAAATTGCAAGGACCACAAGAAAGAAAGGTCAATAATGTTTACCGGCAATTTCGAATGGTTCGGAAACGACTATCACATTATGTTTGTCGTTGTGATGATACCGAAATTCGTAGACACCCAATTCCCACGGCAAACGGTCACCCGTAAACCGTACCTCACCCTTCTCTAAAGGACCGTCATCATTATCGCGAGCAATTATGTGGGCGCTCGTTTCACTGTCATCTTCATCCGGCGTAACATACAGGAACCGCCCACCGCTTGAAACGCTCGTTATCACCTTTGAAGAATTGGCGGTAACCTTGTAGATACCTATCCAATCCAATCGAGAATGATTCTTCGGGGCCATCCACGACAATGATATCGGCTCTCCGAGTTGAAAAGCTATGGTCTTCGAGTTTGTGTTGTGACCATTCGAATTTGATGTGTCGTTTGAGCCTTCATCGGGTAGAATCAATGAAATCGAATATTGCCTGCGATCAAAATTGTCATTGACCTCGGAGAGTCGGCTAAAAAATTAAGATTTTAATGAATTTATTTGGACGTCGAGATCAAACCGAAAGAATCAATTCTTTATACCTAATCATGAATTTATCTCTTGAATTTTGAAACAAGTTTTGTACTTTTGGCTTTGCAGCACCAACGAATTCACCAACAACCTCAGCCGTCTCCTCAACAACCTTTTCAACTTCTCTAACGACACGCTTGACAATTGAAATTTCGGGAACCTCGCGAATTTTGATGACGCGCTTAATCGTCTTCGTCAAACCATCTTCCTTACGAATCTTGTCACCATAAAGCTTTCGCATATGAGGGCTCTCGATATATCGTAAAAATAAAAGGTTCGAAATTTGAGCAAATAAAGTTAGGCCGAAAATCGGCCAACTATTTGAAATCAGGGTGATCCCCCAAAATGCAGTGTGACCCATAAGTTTCTCCGGATTGTTTAAGAATCGATAGATGCCGGTGTAGTACGGTGTTTCCGGACGAGCATCAAGGAAGAAGTCCCCGTAGAACCACCCGAAATCTCCAAGAACCTCAAATATGGAAACTGATGTCCATATGTGCAAAACTATCAGCAACACTCCTAAGGTGTGACGCAACAATACCGTCCCGTAGGTCCAGTCTTCCGGGAAATAGTACATCTTCCAAGCAGCGGACACAAAGGTAACGTATGTCATGTACAAAGAGAGGTTATATATGCTGCAAATAAAGAAAACTCAGTTCATGTGTCCATCATGTACCAAAAAGAAAAAATTGGTATATCACCTCTTCCAGTTAGCAAAAGCTTCATTTACAGTACCGCCAAATTTTATGTAGTGCTTCGTCAACAACTTTTCCTTACTCTGAAGAAACAAGATCGCGCCTAATCCATATGAATGAAACACGCGCCAGGCCAAACATTGAACAATCAAAAAGATCCTAATCACGTTTTCCGATGCACCCATGATAAATGACGGGATGATAACAGCATAGAATGTCATGAAAACGACAAAAAGATCATTCGAACGCAGGAGATCAAAGTTCTTGAAAACGATCAGATCACGACGGAAACAATGATCTGTGGTGTCCGGTAAGTTCGAAAGAGATGATTGGAGATCGTTCTTCGAGTGTAACTCTAAATCACTGTGTTGCGACGCTGACTCTTGATCCTTTGTTGTGTGTGGTTTTGACAATTTTTCATTTAGAGGAGTAGGTTTATTGTATGTCTTGTCGATATCTAAGTGTGCAATGTGTGTTTAGTCACGCGATCGTTCAACGATCAACATTCTGTCCATCTATACCTACGAGGATTCTCCACGAATGTTAGGAAGGCGAATTGTGCTGCATGCGCAGACAAGCTAACGAATAACACCGTGTAACTTGCCATCATCAAGGAAATGCCGTAATAACCAACGTACCCAATAGAATACATCGGATGCGGTGCCATTTCGAACACACCATCAAATGTCAACGATTGATCAACAAGAAAAAAGAAGTCACCCCAGTCTGTAGACGAGAAGTTGAATGAATGAATGAATAAATAAATGGACCCACACCAAAACGAACAATCAGCACGACATAGGAAAGTTCTGACCGACATACACCAAGCAAAATCCTTGACAACCCGATGGGCATCCGCTTTTACCCAAACGTTAAACCATAACAAGAACAGACCGCCGACCCAACGAAGGACATTAGTAATCAAACCAGAATTTTCTGGAATACTGAAATTGGCAAGGGCAAAGCAGACATAGGTGATGAAATCGTTCAAAAGTATGAGGTCCACGAGTTGACGGAAAAGAAGCCAGGTGTTAAATTCGATAGGTGCGGTCTAGGAACGTGTATCCAAATTAGCACATATGCGAGGAGTATACATGCATGCATGCAAAAAACAAAAAAAAAATTTTTTTTCTTACATCAAAATCATAATCATCGCCCATTTTTACGGTTAATTCTTCTTTCAGAAAAGTGTACCATTTTCCACCTTTCTCCTTATCAAAAATTTTCTTACGCTTTGCCCATAACACTAAACCTCTTCTGTCACTTTGATATTTCAACAATGCACCAAGCCCAGCATTATAAGAAACTCTCCAAAAGATAAAAAGGATCAAAAATATCCATCTCCTGATAGACGAGGGAAGAATGAAAAACAAAAGTATTTGCGAACTTATGACAACAAGAGTGATTGTATCAAACGCAGATTTCCTGGTGCTCAGCGTAAAAACCGAGGTTAACATATCAGACGTTTGCGGAACTTGAAAAACTAAAAATCGATGGACTGGCATTTAGTATCGACTTGGTAGAATAGAGGGCGCTACATTCTTCTATTAAAGTCACGTGACAAGATCACAACAATAACTTTTCGTCACGAATTTAAAACCTCAATTACAATTATCCTATGTACCTTTGTCGTTAGACGTTTTTCCGTACACTATCTCGCCGTTTCCTTTATTTTTGTTATCATCTTGTAAAATTTTGTCGGTTCCGTTATCAGCGACGAAGTCGGTGTTTGTCTCAATCTTTAACGTCTGAACGCTACTTGTCGTTGACACAGCAACTGTTCCTTGTGTTTTTGTATCAATGTCCATTGCTATCTGTATGATTTAGGCGGTTCTTAGTGACTCAATGCTTCATAAATAATAAAAAATATTTACAAAGGATAATATCATCTGTTGAAGAAGATATGTAAAATCCAAATAATCCACAACTGTTGAAGTTGGGTTTGAGAGAGAGAGAAATCCCTTTTTTTTAATGCATTTTTATAGAATCTACGTCATTGATGCGAAAGTGCATTTGGATTATTCTGCTGATGATCATTTTGTCGTTACGCATTTTATGTACTTATCACGAGCTTTAAATGTGCTTCCCCAACTCCCCAAATTTATACGGATAATACATGTACGATTAATTAGGCAATACATGATGATAAACTTGGTACAATCATTTTTTTTTATTAATCACATGACTTCACACACATATATGTATATATAGGAAATCACATTAACCTTTTATTCATTCGCGATTCAAACTATTCTTTAATCTTTTTTCGTTCTTCAACGCCACCAATTTGTTGATGACCTCCTCTAGAAGGATTGTCTGACCTTTCGTTTTGGTACCGACATCATCTCTATTTCGAATATTGACTGAATTTGTGGATTCCTCTTCAGCACCAACAACTAGTAGAAATTCGGAGAAAGAAAAGATAGAAGCAAATAAATACAGTAATGAAATTGAAACGTATAAACACGATTGGAAACTTACCAAAGATGAAATTGAATTGAGCAATCTCGGCATTACGGATCTTTTTATTCAGTGTGCTTTCACCTAAATCAGTTTCGACATATAAGCCAGCGTCAAAACATGCGTTTGCGACTTTTTTGACGTAATCGCTGAAACTATTAGCGACCGGAATGACCATTATCTGTCGAGGAGAAAGCCAGAAAGGCCTGCATAGAATGAAAAAACAACAATTTATTAGCTCAACGAGGCATTCATTCGAACATTGCCATTCTGAAGAACCATTGCGTTCACCATTTTCCGCCGAAACTTTCGGTCAACACGGCAATCATGCGCTCCACAGATCCCAATATAGCACGGTGAATCATGACCGGACGAGCATATGATTGATCATCAGTACTCGCTTGAGTACGATATTCGAGTCCGAAACGTTCAGGAAGTTGAAAATCAAGCTGTAATGTGGCACATTGATGTTTTCTCTTGAGAGCGTCTGAAATCGTAATATCGATCTAATATGTTTCAAAAGACGATTAGATTAGTTGAGAAGATTAGAAGGCAAAAACAAATTACAAAACATACCTTTGGGCCATAGAAAGCACCATCGCCCGGGTTAAGTTCCCAAGGTTCGCCAAACTTGTTAAGCGCATCTTCCAGTTTCTACAAAACGAAAAATGAATTTGATTAATACCAAAACAAAACTTGTACTGCGCACGATTTTTTTTTTTTTTAAAAAAAACCTTTTCAGCTTGGTCCCAGACTTCAACCGTACCCAAATACTTTTCAGGACGTGTGGATAATTTAAGTTGAAAAGTGAAGCCAAATATTCCATACACATATTTCAAGAATTCTAGGGCAGAGTTAATTTCTTCTTCCACCTAATTGATTAAATCGAATTATTAATATCGGACAGATTCGTGATGAGAGTGAATATATTGCTGAATACATAAAATGAAAAACCTGATCTTGTCGACAGAATATGTGCGCATCATCTTGTTGGAATCTCCTTACACGCGTTAACCCCGTCAAAGCACCGCTTAGCTCATTACGATGTAATACACCGAAGTCGGCAAAACGGATAGGCAATTCACGGTATGAACGATCTCGGTGCTTGAACATAAGACAATGTCCCGGGCAATTCATGGGTTTCAACGCAAATTTTTCTTTTTCAACTTCAAAACAAAACATATTCTCCTATTTCATGAATATCTCATTAGAAATATGCAGCAGCCACGGTAACATAATATGTAAAGTGCAAGGCATACTTCATAATTTTGCAAATGTCCAGACTGCTCCCACAGCTTAGTATTATACATGTTAGGAGTGATCACTTCGCCATAACCTCTTTTTCGATATTCCAACTATCAAATTGATATGGTTCGAATCAGCCAAATAACTCAGTATCTACAATAATACAAGTAAGGAATGTACCCTTATAAAATCAACGAGCGTGTTATAAATTCGGGTGCCATTTGGAAGGAAGAAGCAACTACCGGGACTCAACTCATCGAAAAAGAATAATTCTTGTTCCTAAAGAAAAAATCAACTTAAGCTTTTATCGCGTAACATAAATCAGTGATTTCATTATTATACCCCACCTGACCAATTTTCTTGTGATACCGTTTTTCTGCTTCGGCAATAAAGGTTAAATATTCGGTCATCTGTTTTGTATCTGGAAAAGAGATTCCATATATACGTTGAAGAGAATCATTATTCGCATCGCCAAGGAAATATGACGACGAATTCTTTTTGTCATAAATTACATGTAATTAGATTATTTCAACGAATCTCGAATGATCGTTATTCAAACCAACCTTTGTAATTTCAAAGGCCTTGATTTTTCCGGTATGAGGAACGTGAGGACCTACACACAAGTCTATGAGGGGACCACAACGATATACAGTGGTGGAAGTTCCGTCCGGAATTTTTGATTTGATCAGATGAACCTTATACTGATTATGCTGAAAAACGATTTCACAGACGCACGTTAAAATAGGTGTTTCCTCATCGCAAATAAAGAATTAATAATTTACCTTGAACATTTCCATTAAATTTTCCTTTGAAATAACAAGTCGTTCAAAAGGTTGTTTTTCTTTGATCGCGCTCTTTGCTATCATCTTGAGAGATTCGTAATCACTTTGACTTACAACACTAAAGAACAAGCAAACAAAATAATAAGTAACTCACAATAATAATTCATGAAAACCCTTTTTAAAAAAAAAAAAGAATATATGATGTGTACCGATCTTTAATAGCCATCTCGTAATAGAAGCCATCGTCTAATGGAGGACCAATGCAAAGATGACAACCGTAATGACGTTCGCAAGCCTCGCCGAGTACATGGGCACTCGAATGCCAAAACACCTTTTTTCCTAAAGATCAATTTAATCAAATCTCTTTGGTATCAATCGGTGGGGTAATTCACTTTCACCAAATTCACACCTTCATCATTTTCAAAGTCCAAAAACTCCAGGGTACAATCTGCCTCCAATGGTCGGATCAAGTCAAACAATTCACCATCAACCTAATATCACAAGAAGAGAAACATCAACTTAATAGGAACCTAATGATAAAATCATCAATTATATCGACAAACCTTTGCAATTACGATACGTTCGGACAATGATTTTGATATAGATTTGGCAATGTCCAAAGGAGTTGTCTCCCAAGAAGTTGCCTCTCTTGTTTTCCCGTCGGGAAACGTCACAGTAATTGGAACATGTGGCTTCTCTAACAAACAGTTGCGTGTTTACATCTCAAAGATCATCAAAATTGGGTGGCCATAATCTTCACGATGTAAACACTATCTTACTCTTGATTTCTTCTTCATAAGCAGCCTTCCATTCTTCGAATAATTTGATGCGATGTATCAAGAATTCTGGTGGTGGGTTTAACTATAGCAACAAATATATATATATATATATTCAATAACGTTTTACTTATTGAAGCAAAAAGAATTTGCGAAGAGATGGGCACCTCTAACGGATAACCGCCATCAGCTCCTTCCTTTTGAATTTTCTTATTCTTTTTCTTTTCGCCTTTTGAAGTCTGAGAAATTTCGGTAGTTGGTGCTTCAGACATCTTCATTGCACAAATGTTGATCGAACATCGGTATATCATACGTATCGAGTGGTACACTATGAAAATTCCACGTGACGTAATAATCATTCAGAACAAGTATGTGGCAATTTATCACAACCTACACCTGATGGCTTCAAACACAAATCCAGATTCCTCTTCTCTTTGTATTACCACATATCTTGTCCATTGTGTGTAAATCGGTCCTCAATGATTATATTGCGCGATGAATTAATAATTTTGTATAGACATTTATTGGTACTTTCGTAAAGATGCACTCGTCATTCTAGAATCCAGGCCTGCATGAATCCAATCATGAGGCTTATAACGTATAATTCCATCCTATGTTACAAATTTGGAATTATTTTACAACCCCCAATATTGATACTTATCGTTATGTCGGATTTGTTTATTTGTTATTATGAGTTACTTTGGCATTGCGTTAACGTAAAATTATGAAATGTGAGTTCACTTGTCATTGAATACTTAAAAGAATTACAAGTGTGAAATATTACGATTTTTGGCGCTATAAATTTTTGATCGCCATAAAGAAGTGTTTAACAATAATCATACCATTTCATTTGTCATTCCTAATGTGTATGCCTGTCGTAGATGAAATAAATAACCTGTGAACACAGCTGCTTCATGAAGTACACTCGTGAAAAAATTTTTAAATCTTTGTTAGAGGAATTGCACAAAATCAAGCTGGATTCTTATAACAAAAATCATGACACATTTTCATTACAAAACCTTTGTTAAATGTGATGTTTCAAATTATGACAATTGATTTCTTTGAACTAAATTTAACTTGGGATCTTGTAAACTTGTTACTTCACTTTATATATTCTTATAAATAATTTTAATGTAATGTAACTAAAAATAATTCAATATTTACACGCGTAATTTAACTTGATATTATTAATATAATTTCGTTTTTTAAAGAATATTATTATTCATGAATCAAAAATAATCATATATTATTATACTGTATATTATGCATTAAAAATAAAATTTTTATTGAAATATAATTTACCTAAGCGATTAATAAAATTTATAATACATCAAGTCAAATATAAAGTTTATCAAATTACTGTTTTAATAATAAATAAATAAATAAATTTTTTTTCAATTCATAAATATATAATATATCTTACTTTTTTTATTATTATTATTTATTGCCTTGTTATAAACATCTTTAGAAAAATACATTAAAGATTAACTAAGATTTGAACTTGATAAAAAAATAAAAATATTGGTTATTATATAATTTATTGATTTATTATTATTTTGTATAATTCATAAGAAAATTAATATTGTATGTTTATTAAATTATATTAAATTATTATAAATATAAAACACAAATATTTATTTCTTATTATTTTTTTTTAAGTACATTAGCAAATAAATAGGATAATGTATTAATTAATAACAAATTAAATACATATCAGTTATAATTTCTCCTGCCAATTATTATTAATTTAAATATAAATTAATATGTATCAAGTTTTATTAATATTGATTTAAAAATTTTAAACTTAAGATTTATAATGATTTAAATTATAATTTTAATAATATATATAATAATTAAACTAAAAGTAATTTTTTTTATTTTTTTTTCTATAATCAAACAAGTATTTATTATATTTATTTAATTATTAGAATTAAAAATATAGTAATACAAAAATTTTATATATAAACTAAACTAATACTTGAATATCTATTACTAATTATCAATTTCTAAATATAATTTTGAAAATGAATAAAGTTACTTGCTTATCTCTTTTATTCTTAAAAGAATTTAAGTTTATTGTTTACAGTTCATTATTATAATTTATCTTAATAAAATCTTGATTACATTATATTCTTAATTATTTGATTTTCTTCTTTATTTTATTTTATAATATTTATATGAAGGTCTTTAAAACCATAATATTTTTAATCAATAAGTTTGTATCTGTTAATATTACTGCTATCTTTTTTTTTTTTTCTATAATCTGAATTTGTTCTTAAGCTTAAATATTTCTTTTGACATTTTTGAGTTGAAATCTATTTTTTTTTTATCATATACTCTTTCTTGTAATTATAAATTTTTTTATATCTTATGTTTTAGATTTGTTAATAAAACTCTTTATTTCAAACTTATAATATTTTGTTTAGGATCTTTCAAGTTACTATTTTATATATCTTAAGTATATAATATATGTAAATCTATTTTATGGTTTTTTCTTTTGTTTATAATCCTATACTAATATTTATTATTTTTTTTGCTAATAACAATTTTTTTATTTTTTACTTCTTTATTATTTTATAAATTAGTATTAAATTTCATTTTATTTATTTATTTTTTTTTGATATATTTTATAATTTAAAATATATATAGTTTATCAATAATATACTTTTATATCTTGTTTTTTTCTTTTTGAAATTTGTTATAAATTGTTAAATAATTTACTGTCTCTTTAGATTCTAAACAAAAGACATATTTGATATTTGCTAATAATTTTTAAATATTATGTTTAACTAAATTATTTAGTGTTAACAATTTATTATATATAAGCTTGATATTAAATATTTTTTTTTATCTATTTGAACAAAATATTAATAAGTCTTTACTATTGTTATAAAGTCAGAAACCTCTTTAATAAACTTTATTATATTTTTTTATTTCCTTTTTTTATTATTATTGAATTCTATTAAGAAATATTTATTGTATTAAAAAATTTTTTTATTAATATCTTTAATAAATACTCCAATTAAGATATTAATAAAGATATTATTTTATTCTAATATTATAATTAATATTATTGCTAACAATGATTTTTCTTTAATTTTTGATTTTTCTTTTGCTACTTTGACTAATTAATTTGCTTAATTATTTAATATATTTTTATTATAGATTTAACTTTAATAAATTTTAATTAAATTCTTTTTTTTGTAATTAAATTTATTAATTTTAATTATAACTGCCAATTTGATATTTTTATTTGTTTATTTAGTATTTTTTTGAAATAAAATTTGTTTAGCTTTATAAAAATATTAATATAATTAATACTATCTATTTTAATTTCAATACTTTTATCATTTGATATAGTTAATATTACTAAAAAAATTATTACTAGTTTAACTTTTATTGAAAAAAATCAGTTATCAACTTCTATTTGAAATATTCTTATTAAATTTGATTGTTCTATTTAAAGTCATATTAATTTCATTTTTAAGAATTGATTTGATGCTTTACTTATTGTTTTATCTATATAGAATTTATAAATATCCTTATAGTTTTTGTCTATATTAAGTCTATATTTTGAGTATAGCCATATTTGATATTTTTCTGTTATTATATTGTTTTGAATTATTTGTATACTATAATCTTCTATTTCTATATACTGGAATTTAAATAAATTTATATTGTTAAAACAAAATTTCTTCAATTTTGATTTAATCCAACTTTTTAATATATAAGTTTTAATTAATATTATTGACTTTTTACTTTTTTTATATTTAGTAATTTTATTTATCCAATTAAAAAAGTTTATAAGATTTCTGTTAACTTACCTTTAATCTGTTTCAACTTTTGTGAATTTGATTGTATTTGGATCTTTTCCTACTCTAATCTAAAAATATTCTGTATTCAGATTGTTTGTTACTTGTATATTTCTATTTCTAAACTAAAACAGCTTTATTTTTTGTTATTATTAATACTTACTTGTCAATTTTATTTTCTATAATTTATGTTTTTATTGAATATAAATAGTATTTTATTTTGGAATATCCAATTATATTTTATTTATTTTTGCTTAAGAACATTATGTTTATTTATTAATATTTGTTTAATAATTTGATATCATATTAATATAGATTCTTGTTCTTAGTTTATTAAAAATTATAATATTTTCTGGTTTATAAACATATTGTATTTCTTGTTTATTAGCTAATCTATAAATATAGTGTTGTGTTTTTTGGAGAATTTTGTTATTTTTCTATAAAAGAAGAAATTATTTAATAGAATTTTAATTGTTATATATTTTTCTTTTTATTAAAATATATTTGTTTATTAAAAATCCAAAAACTTGATTTTATTTTATTTACTATTTTAAGTATTTGTGCTGAAAAGTTTTTTTGTAATTATTGTTAAAGATATCTTCAATAAAAAGATTTATTGGCTTTCAATATTGTATTTGTACTTATTATATTTAATTAGAATATATTTATATGGGTAATTATTTTTGAAGGTGAACCAAAAATTTTCAGGGTATAAATTTATTACCCTATAACTAAAAATTTAAAATTATATAATCTTAAATAAATTAATATTATAATAGTTATTTTTTTATTTTTTTATTAATAAATAAATATTTTAA